CCCGAGTAGTCCCCAGATGCGACGTCGTCGGGGAGGGCGTCGTCGCGGGCGCCAACGTCGTCATCCGAGCCCCTACGGCTGTCCAAGGGCACGTCTGGGTGGCCAGGGGCGGGGGCCGAGCCGTGAGTGCTCCGCCGGGGCGAGCTTCTGGGTCCATGGGACCGCTGCCGGACCCATCCGAGAGCCTCTCCGGACACGTTCGCTCGATGGCCTAGTTGGCGGCCGATATTCGACGACCAAAGCTCCGGGCGCCGCGGCCAGAGGTCCGCCCACGGCCCCAGGACTCGTGGTGGGTGTGGGGTGTGCCTCACGAGGCGGAGAGGCCGCGTGAACGCCCGTAGAAGCTCGCGAAGTGCGGATTTGGAGCGCCGCGCCGGACCTCCGCCGGGGCCCGCCGGGGCGTCGTATGGGCCTCGGGGTGCCCGAGAAGCTTAGAGGTGCGGTTTTTTTTGCTTGTGTCTATCGGTTCATGTCATGGACCGGCCCTGGGAAGCCTTTGACCGCGCGCGGAGGGTGTTACGGGGCCGTGATGATTTAGCGGGAGGGAAATCGGCTGGTTTGCCCAGTGTGAGAATAGGCGGTGCAGCGCGCGAAGCGCGCGCGATCTCGTACTTTTAAGGCTGGATCCGGCCATTCCAAGGGTATACCTTTGAGAATCCCCAGCGTCCCACCCTCCTAGTCACACTCTCAATTTCTCGACTGGCCAACACGAAGTGCTGCGATCGGGGGTGGCCCATTTCTTTTTTCGTTTCTTTTTTTGGGCCCTGTGGGCACCCTATCGGTGGCCAGGCTGCCAAGCGTCACAGGCGGGGGCGAGGCCTCTGCAAACCTCAGCCGCGCCTTTTCCCCTTTTTTCCACCTCTTTTCTTTCTTTTCTAGTCTTTTACGATTTTGCCGGAAACCATTGTTCAAGACTTCGTTTGATCAGAGGAGAAGCACTGACAGTCTGCGTGCAACGGAATGAGCTGCACCACGCTGCTCGTGCTCCCGTCAATTGTCGTGCCCCTCGAACCTCTCTGCAAGAGGCATTGCCCCTACAACTCTCTGACAGTGCGATGCAAGTGGGGCGGATGCAGCGGCTGCTCGGAATGCGCGTCTCCATCATCATGCAAGACATATTGCCAATACAACACGCACCCACTGTCGGTGCGATGCAAGTGGGACGGATGCGGCGGCTGCCTGGAATGCGCGTCGCCGCCGCCGCTGCCGCCGCTGGCCTCGTTAGCGCCTCTGCCGTCTCCATCATCATGCAAGACATATTGCCAATACAACACGCACCCACTGTCGGTGCGATGCAATTGGGACGGATGCGGCGGCTGCCTGGAATGCGCGTCGCCGCCGCCGCTGCCGCCGCTGGCCTCGTTAGCGCCTCAGCCGTCTCCATCATCATGCAAGACATATTGCCAATACAACACGCACCCACTGTCGGTGCGATGCAAGTGGAACGGATGCGGCGGCTGCCTGGAATGTCCGCTTTCGTCGTCACCTGCCCCCATCGCACCTCAAGCGCCCCCGTCACCCCCATCGTCGTGCAAGACGTCTTGCGCGCACAGCTCGCACCCGGTCGCGGTGCGATGCACTTGGGACGGATGCCACGGCTGCTCAGAATGCATCTCAAACGTCACCGTCACGTGGCCACCGCCTCGGCCGCTCAGGCTCGCACCCTCCAGGAGCTTCAAGCAGCGCGAGGGCGCGTTGAGTCTACTAGTGGGGACCGAGGCAAACTGCGGCGCGGTTGTCGGCACGCTCAATGCGTGGCTGGCGGAGGCGGGCGCCGACACCACCGGCTTCGCCTGCGGAGAGACGCTGGCAATCCAAGGTGAGCGTTACTACTCTGGCTGGGGCGTCGGCCGTCTGATCACCAGCAACGACTGTGAGGACGACGTCGCCGACGCCAACGGCGTGCTCCCGCTCCGACTGGCGTGCTCCGACGCGTGCCCCGACTGCGAGTACAGGTACACGTATGACTGTGGAGAGCCCTCCTGCTTGGGCGGCCCGCCTTGGTCGGCCAGGAGGGTGGACTATGTGACGGTGAGTGGAGCACCGGACGTTGCCGCGCTGAACGAGCTCTTGTTTCCGCCTCCACCTCCGACCCACTACTCCCTCGGCGTCGCTGGACGGAGCTGCCCCCACGGGACGGCCGTTCTGGACAGCTGGACAGCTGGACAGGCTGACTGCGAGTCTATCGCGGTAGCCCTCGGCTATAACTACGAGGGGGTGCAATTTTGGCACGAAGGGTATCCAGGCCCCCACGGCAGCAGCTCCTTCACGTCATCGGCAAGCAGCCCTGGCTGCCACTACTTCAAGCACGCCGACGGACACGGCTCGGTCTTTTTCAACTTTTGGGCGTCCGAGGTGCCTGATCGTCCACCGTCGGTGGAGAGCACGGCGGGGCCCATTTGCCACTGGCTCTGACCGAACACGCGCCAACACGAAACGCACAACGAACCGCACTGATCGTCCGGTTCACTCATCGAGCGCGAGCCGCAACCCGCGCGCGTCCACAGCCTCGAGCAACACAAACACTGTCGTGCGGGAGATTTTTGCCGTGTTGAACGAATGGTCGTACTTAGCAACGAACGAATGGTCGTACTTAGCACCTAAAGAGCGCTCTAAGACATTGCACATTAGACGTGGTTTTCACATGATTCCCCGGCGTGCCAAAAAAGCAAGGAGACGTCAAGCGACCGGAGACATGCGCTGAGCCTCAGCCCTTGGCCACAGGCGCCTGCTCCGTGCTGGGCAGCGGCGCGTCCGACGCCTTGACGAAGCGCACAGAAACGGAATTGACGCAATGCCTCTCGTTGGTCTGCGTGAAGCGCTCGCCTTCAAAGAAACTAGAGGCAGTGCGCGGCCGAGCCGCCGAGTAGCCGAGGTGGCCGGGGCGGCGTTCGCCTTCAAAGACGTGGCCGAGGTGGCCGCCGCAGCTGCTGCACATGATCTCCACGCGCCGCATACCAAACGAGCTGTCCACTTCGGTCCGGACGGCGCCTTTGTAGCACCGGTCGAAGGCCGGCCAGCCGCACCTGCGCCGTGCGGGGAGCGTGAGAGGGCTGTCAACCCAAATCTGGCATACACCCACGCAGCGCCGCCACCGCCACAGCACGCCACTTCGCCGGCGGCCACCGCCACAGCGCGCCACTCGCCGGCCGCCACACGCCCGCACGCGACAGCCGCCGCAACCACTCGGATAGTGCGCCCGCTCTGTGGCTCACCCGGACTTGAACTTGCTCTCAGCACTGTAGAGCGGAAGACCGCAGCCGCGGCAAACAAAGTGGCCGGCCTTGGGGTAGAACTTATCGTACTCCCCTGTGCCTGCGCGCTCTGTGCCCTTTTCGCGAAGTACATTGTATTCCTGTGCGTTAAGTTGCTTCTTCCACTCAGCCTCGCTCTTCGCCATCGCTCCGGTGTAGGCGCTGGGTGCAGAGGTGGTACGTCCGTCCCGGAAACTTCAGTTACCCGGAATTGACCCCATCCAAAAAAATCTGGAACAGCGCTCCGCCGGCGCCGCCACAGCTTGCCGAGCGCCGGCCACAGGCCTGCCTGCAGCCCAGCCACCCGCCGCGGCGGCAGCTAGTCGGTTCGGCCTTGACTCGCGCGCGCCTTGGCTTGTGCAGGTGATGCCCAGAGCAGCAGAGACGACGCCGGCAG